ACCTACCTTATCATATATAAGAGTCTGATATTCTAGCACTGGGAACACGCGAAGGAGTTGTCAGCTAGGACCTATTTGGTTACGGAAAGTTGAAGAATGCTATAAGGGGAGATGTATGTGTTTTAGCAAACATGAGACGTCGACAAACACGAAACCGTGGCATTGCGCAAGCGTTGTAAGACACCGCTGCGGATTCGCAGACACTGTTCAGCTTTTCTAAAGTACGTTGACTATTTACGCCCTGCCTCCTCAGCGTGAGTGAAGCCGATATATGTTACGGTAAAGTCAGGTATTCTGGATGCTTTGAACATGTTTGTAACGCTGTGACGACTGCCACCCATTCTGTCGTGGATGCGGTGGTTACCGCTGGGCGCACCGTGCGCTCGGCGCGTTCACGCCAGCGCAATGCGCAGCGCATTTCGAAACTTTCGAATTCAAATGCGTCGTTGGCCCCGCCCCTCAGTGCAGGCCACTACCCGCTTACCGCCGCTGCTAAAAATCGTCGTCGGCCGGCCATGCTGTCTATCTAGCTGCCAGGTAAGTCACTTATTGGTGTGTAACCCTTAAGGATCCTTCGCTTGGAGATGTAGTGCGTTGTCTCCAAGGGTGATAGCGTGGCAGATCGGTATTCACCGGGGAGCGAGGAGACCAACTCAAGCCGAGAGGTAAGTCCATGATGGCGGAGGGCTCGCCGTGAAGCCGGTCGTAGTTCCACTCCTGCTCCCGCAGCAACTGACTATTGCCAATGAACTAATGTATTTCACAATGCATATAAATTTTCCGCAGAGTAAAGCACATACGGTTTTGGGCGTTTTCCAAATCTTCAAATGTGTTGAGGGGAAACTAAAAGAAAAGTGGACGCAAGCAACCTGTTTGAGCAAAATCGTGCGTCTTCACTACATCGTTAAGCTGGTTAACGCAGAACGGACCGTCGGCGTAACCAGGGATGGATTTGCGTGAAACTTCATATTTCGGTACATGGAGTAATACATATATTCGGTACGAATGAGTAAGGGAGCTCCATGTTATAGAGGATTCGCCTCCTTCGCAACATCAAATTATGCGAAGTCCTGGCACAGCACATTGAAGGCACAACACATACGAAGAAGCGGCTTTTAAATGGAAATCAGATTACGCAATCACAGTTGTGAGACACGTGACCGATCTGAAGTGGCTTTTCTCTTGAGGTTACGCTCCTCCATCAACTCAACTGAATGTTCTTTTTTCTAGGAAGTCCTACTATACACGAGAGATTTTCTGCCAACGGAATTCGTTGCATTCTGACTTTGAGAAGACAAAGAAAAGAATTTCTGAACCACCGTCAAAGGCAAATGAAAAGCTATTTCGCGCTTCTATCCCTTTCCTAGCGAGGGTTTTCGCACATGGAAGCACTTCACTTCCAAAGGATCATACTATTAAGACAAAATGTGGGCAGTGGTCTCAAAATCCCAGCAGGAGGTGCTTTATACGGCAACTAGGACATTGGGTTATTCAAAATACCTCCGCTGCTGCGACACTATGCTTTTCACTTCGTTGAATAGCACATCAGCACATCTTATCTTCGCTCTAGAGCCTTCTTCTTTGATAATTCTCATTGCTAGCGATATGGTGTCTGCTATTTTCAAGTGACCCAGATTTAGGCGGGACGTGTATTCACTCTTATGCTGTCGCTACACATATAAACTATGATTCTGATAAACAAGTTCTCAAGTCTAAGATATTACTCTGAAGGTTAGTAATTGCAACTCTATCATTCGTCCCATTGATTCATTATCATACTCCGCCTATACGAGAATCCGTTCCATCTTTATCGGGGTTTAACACACAGGAAATGTTAGGACTGAGAAGGTTGAGCTCTTTGAAAGTACCCTATAACTGCTAGGTAATGGAACATTTGTTCGATTGTCGAACATTCGTGAACCCACCCCAATGAATTCGCGCGTCTCCGAAAAAGAATTGCAGATGCTCACAGGTAACCTAGGCTCACCGTTGAAAAAGACCTGGATCGTGTGTCGCCGGGACCGGAATACGTTCTCAGGGACCTGTACGTAGAGCAGTTGTTCAAGCACAATTGGTCTCACCATAAACTGAAATAATTGTGAAAAATGTAAGTGCATTTGCATAAATCGTTGAGAGTTTTTTTTCAGTGTCCTCATTGATTGGATACATCACTTCTACAAAAACAGGTCATGGACAAACTGGGGAAAGTTCAACCCCAGATACTCTTGATGTCAGATGGGACGCATGCACAAATCTAAGGGCTAAGGGCACTGCCCGCGTACGGAGTTAGGCATCGGATATCTGAAGCTGAAGGATGGAGCACTGGCGAAGCTCAGCAAAGAATATCCCTGCATGACCGGGATATCCGCCGTATGGCGTTGTCCATCCGCAGAGAGGAATTATCAATCAAACTACGAATCCAGTCACTACCGGAAACAAGGCTTCAAACAAGCTTGTGGCATTGCATCCCGCCCTGTTGACCAGATTCATGTCAGAGAAGAGTTTCTTTGAAGATATCAAAGCTGCGCAGAAGCGCATAAATTTGTCCTAGATGTAAGGAAAGGTAACTGATCTATCATGAAATTACCACAGTGAAGACAACCTTCGTTTTCTAAGAGAAATTAGCATGTCATCTAGAGATGGAAGCTCGTCCGTTAGAGACCATATGCATTGCCGACCAGAGTGGTTTTGTGAATGAGCTGCGCCCAACCAGGCCATTAACTGCAAAAGGCACAAGGAAGGTGGAAAGGGTGATGCAGTCGTTGTCAGATGTTCGTTCGCTATCATGTCAACCATTTTTGCAGACGGCGCCTGGCAGACCAGCGTTTTGTGGTTATGCAGGTCTGTTCTAGATACACTGATATATTGACAGTTCACTTTTTTGGAATGTCTTTCGCCAGGAAGCGCATTGAATATTCCTGGAAAAGGTTATTTTGAGACTCCTAACATGAATAACAGAGCATGTTCTACACAGTTATGAAAAATGGACTCCTGGCCATCATTTAATGATCACGAGGCGAGCCGGTCTGCAGTACCATCTCACGAAGAGATTAATATGAATGTCCCTGCAGGTGCGACATCGCAGATCCAGCCTCCAGATGAATACTTTTTTCCTGCTATTCAAAGCCATGTGTAAACGACTTATAGCCCACATTATAGGTCACAACTTGGGCTTCTCGGTGTGCGTACGCGACTCCATTTTATGGCATATCTGTCTGACATACTTTCAGTTCTGTTCCTCCAGAATTAATCGTTGCCTATTCTTTTCACGCCGCAGGTTATATCGATGAACATCCAAGTGGATTTGTGACTCCCTATAGTTTCTTTTGAACTGGTCTAATAAGAAATGTCAAATGACTGATCGCGAGAACTGTTCTTCTTCCGTTGCTCTCATTGCAAGAAGTTTTTACTTCCAACATTTCCTATTAGCATACCACACTTTTCATGGACTGCAAAAGTTGCTGGTAAAGCCGATAATGAGAAAGTAGATATCGAAAATTGTCACGGTTCAGTCCTCCCAAAGATACCTGCCTCTTTCCAACAGCAAGATCAACTTTCCCGACCATGAAAAGTGATTTACAACATGTAAGGAACGCTATCAAAAAAATGCAAGAGTTGCCCCGCATGCGGGATCCGAACTATGTACTAATCTTGCACATACGAGACTCCCACAGTATCCGCTAGCCCATGCTGCGCACCCGAGCGGCGGTTGCATCTCGTATTCGTGCTGCTCCTTGGGTCTGCTCCACATCACAACAACTCCTGTACCTTTGGTCAGGGAATCGTTTAGCAGATACAGAATACAGATTTGAGCTGCTTAACCTGCGAAGGCCTATCAAGTTATGTGCACCTCATCTCAAACGGCCACTTCAACCTACCATCCTTCCCTTGTTAGGGGTGATATTTTTGAAGTGTCACTTAGTGTCACCTTCAAGAGAATGGTCTGTATTCAAGCCAGCTTAGTGATTTCCTAAGAATTTATTTTTTAATGGCTTCTGTTTTATTCTCCTTCAATATAATTTCACTGCCTCAACTTACGAATTGTATTTTTCCAGTTTCATCGAGTGTTGCGTTGTCTTGACTCTCTTGCATTGCACGCACGCAAACTGTGTTCGCAGTTCCAAATAAATGTAAAATGAATCTCCCTTATGAGGTGTCGACCTCACAAATCTGAAAGACGTATAACATGCGTAAGGAATGTAGTATCCAGGCGGTAGCCGGAAGAAATCGATGTTTACACATAACAGTGGTCGGTCGTAGATGAATAGAATGAGCCCTTAAAACTGTGAAGGACAAAGTTTAGCTTTATCGAAGCTGAGCATGCTTGAGCCTAGATGTCCCTTCCATGCACGGCGCAGACGTTTCTAGTCAATTCGGTGGTTTCTCTCTTCGATGAAATGGCAGATTTGGGGATTTTTCTTTAGCGCCATCTATTGAGTGACAGGTAATACGATGACATCACACGAAATCCGATCCGTGTCTTATGCTTTCTTGCCGTATAATTTATCTGTAAAGCTACCAAGACCCCTTCTTGACCCACACCTCATTATCATCCACCACATTCACGTATGCCTGTTAACTTCAACTTTCGAGACAAGATTTTCAAGAAGGAGCATTCCAAAAACGACCACAAGTCGTAACAAAAAAAGGAAATTTTTCGTGCAGAACAAAAAAGTGTTACTTTCAGACACTATTTACATCGCACCACATAACAAAAATATCACAGAAGGATAAAAATGAGAATAGAAACGCTAAAAACATTTGAAACAACCTTAAAGGAGCTCAACAACCAAACAATACAAATCTATATGCACAAATCTTGTTTGACGAGTCGAAAACGATGTAAGCCCGCTTTCAAACCCGATGAACAGTCGTCGTTACTTAAATAATGGGCCCAAAAACAAATGAGACTATTAGATGCTGATCAGCTGAATGAAAGCTGAATCAGTAGTTAGAGCTTCAATGAAGTTCATGTCATACAGGAGATCGAATGGTCCCGTCTAGCCGTACCATTTCATGGCACAGATCCAATTGTGGACTGGAATCGCTGTAAGGGCTGCTGCCAGAATTCCAATTGTGTCCGCGAATGTGACAGTGGACAGAGCGAATTCGCGGATTGTTGGATCCACCTGAAATGTAGATCACTTTTTTCATCAATCACTGGAGCTTTGTAAATATATTGTTTGCTGTAAAGGCAATCATCAAAAATTGAAAATGAATGGAGTTGAAGGGGCTACGTCACTGCGCTCTGCATCTCTAACACCAGGGACCACGGAACACATAAGGCCTTGTCAACTCACTCGAAGTATTATCCTCTCTGATAGGGACCGGTTTATCTACATCCTGACCAATTTCTTGCACCTGGTCAGGGATCCAATCATCCCAAAGCTTTTCCCTCCAGTCAACCGTCCGTTCAAACTGTTCGAACGGGGGGGGGTCGCATTTGTGTTCTGTTTGTGTTCTGGGAGGGGAGAGGGGTCGCATTGCGCAGTTCTGCTGGTTACGTTTGGTCATCAGGGGCGCAGGGCATAGGTGCGTGCGAAAAAAGTTGCCGTTTCACTGGTTGTATATACCCCCCGCTCGACGGCTATTTTTGGGGAAAAAGTGGGTGGAGTTTCGGAGTTTTAGGTAGGTTTTGGGCTGTGTCAACTGGTCTCAGAATCAAATACTATAGAAGAGGGGAGGTCGCGGTGGGCGAAGGCTAGTTGTATTAAGGCGGGGGTCAGCCAAAAAATCATTGAAAATGTCCCCTATGCCACGGCGTCGAAGTGCAACGGTAGACCCTGTTCCCCCTACTTATAGAGCGTGGGTAAAAATGCCCATCCTCTAGGTCCTGATCGTTTCTTTGCACTATTCGAGGCTGACTCGCTCGATCCTTATGAAAGGCGTTGATCATACGACCACACGTTATGAACGCTTTTGCCCTGACCTTAGTAAATGTCGGAATTGGCCAAGCAGGCGATTCGGAAGCAGGCAAGAAGAAAATGATACGTATCGATAGTGGGAATACGCAAGTAGGCAATCACTTGCAAGGCACAGAGAATCAAATCGATACGCACACAGCTCGCCCAAGCGCCTGATCGCCCCATCAACTCTGAACCACGCCTCAGTGTTGATGATGCAGAGCACACAAGTGAGAGTGAAGTGGAGTACCCTCTAACTCACCAAGCCGTTACGAATACTAGGTAGGAATTGAACTCGGATCTCGCTCGTGGTTCTATCAGGTTCGACATGCTCCCTTCTCTTTCATAGAACAATTTGAATCTTTGGCTCTCATTTTCCTTGATATACAGGACCCTTGTTTAAGAATTTTCTGCTAAATTTCTTTTTCTTCGGTGTCCTGACTGCCTTCATTTTGTCAAACCTTATGTGAGCGCAAAGTGGGCGGGGTCTCCAATAGGGTTCAGAGAAGGCAGTCCACCGGCAATGACTTAAGAAATTAGTATAGGAGTCGCGAAATGGTTACTAAGACTTGCAGCTGCGCCGGAAAGGGCTGAGGGGATAGATCGCGCATCGAATTAATCCCGCCGCGACGCAGCTAGACGCGGCCTTCTTCGAGGCGGACCATCTGACTACATGTTGTAACCTACTTTTCTGTGGATGTGGTAGAACGTATTTGCATAGTTGGCTCCGCCCACAATGCCAACGAAGAACATTATCGAACAGATGATGGCGAAGTGAGGAATATATGCGTATATAGCCGTGAAGAATACCACAATAGTCGTTGCCGTCTGAAAAACAAATGTCTGGATTTATTGATAAGAGGTCATCGCAATTTGAAAAAATGCAGCATAAAATATTTATGTACCTGGACGACGGCCAAGAGCGAAATGCATACGAAGTTCAACTTAATAAGGTTGATCGACGAACGAGAAAGGAAGACTCCAATATGGTAGAACACCTTAAATGAATTTAAGCTTTGAAAATTGGTAATGCTCAATTTTTGGACTGACAGAAGATCCTAGGAAAGTCTGAGAGAGTCCCTCTGAAAGCTTTGTTGCTAAACTAAACACCTACTTGGTACCAACGGTACTGTGATGATGGTGTGGTGTGGAACCCATGAGCACAGTCAAACACGACAAGTTCGATCTAAAACAGTTTTTTCGCCTCTTTGGTAAAACTGTCAATTCTATTGCACTTTGAATTGAACGAATTTGATGAACAAGAACATTTTTGAAAGCGAAATGAAGAAAGGGTTGGAGTTGTGTCGAGTAATCTAAAAAAAACCGCGAA